CGGTACATACTTCTCCAGGAAGAGAACAGAGAATTGCTGCCAAGTAAGGGGCACTGCACCAACAGGCCTATGCCTATCATATGCCTCCCACCAAGTGAAGGCAGCCCCAGAAAACTAAAAGGTGGTAAATGTCACACCACTAGTCTCAAGAACCCCTATTGTCCGAAGCATCCGCTGGCACTTATCTAGAAAACCTTGGGCATCCTCGCCCAATGCACCACTGAATGACGGATGTTGGAGCCTACCAAACCTCTCAAGTAGACGCTGCTCATCATCAGGCATAACTCGTACTACAAACTCCTGAGTTGGTGCAACCAGATGGATAGAGGTGCCCCCGGTGTCTGTAATCCCTGCACAACCTTCTCAGGTGTGCGAACAATGGGAGTCTGGGTGCCTCCCCCGGCCTGGGAAGTAGCTGCGGTCGTAGTAGCTGAAACCGCTTGTGCCAAACCGGTACACACTGGCAAGATCTGAGCTAAGGCCTCCTGAAGGCCTGGAATCACGATAGGCATAGTTGGTGCCTGCACTGGTGCTGCTGCAGCATCCATAACTAGGACTTGATCAGGAATTGGGGCAGTTGGTGGGTCTGCCGGTGTTGCTCTAGCTGCTCTGCCCCTGCCACGGCCTCGACCGCGACCTCGACCTCTGGTGGCCTCAGATGGTGGAACTGGTGGTCATCCACCCCGTCCGGTAGCTCGTGTCCTCACCATATGTGAGAGAATAAAATAACAGAAGTTTAGTACTCGGATTAACAAGTTCGCACGACAAGAATTTCAAGAATATGAAGTTTTTCCTAAAGGTTCTGCAGCCTCTCGAGGATAAATACAGACGTCTCCATACCGATCCGCGAGACTCTACTAAATCGGATCATGACTCGCGAGACCTATGTAACCTAGGCTCTGATACCAACTTGTCACGACCCCAAATACCGGTCATAATATCACCTATCATAGTACTAGGCAAGCCGACAACCCGTAATCACATCCCATTTACCAATAACATTAAGCCATTTTTCTAACATAAGTTTTGAATGCGGAATCCATTATAAGTATTAAAATAATAGAAATATGCTAAAAATCAACACAGCGATTACTACATAGCCCAACAAATCTGGTGTCATGAGTCTAGAGCCTCTAATACAAGTCTGAACAACCTACTACATAGATAGTCTAGAAATACAGAAAAATAATAAGATAGAGGGGAGAAATCAGGGCTGCGAACGCCATGCACCTACCTTAGAATCCCCCAACAAAAGCTGAACCAGCTAAAAAATGCTCACTCGGCCACACGGGCTCCTGGATCTGCACACATGGTGCAGGGAGTAACAAGAGTACGCCAACTTAGTAAGTAACTAAAGTAAATAAAGACTGAAGATAGTGACGAGCAGTTAAAAACATATAACTAAAAATAGCAACAGGATTATTGTTCAAATTTACAGTTTAAAACCAGTTTTCGTTATAAGATCCACACTTTCAGTTCAAAACATGAAAATCGTATACTTAGCAGAATTCCCCAACAGAGGCTTAGTTTAAAAAAGAGTGAAACAATGAAAACAACATAACAAGGCCTCTCGGGCAAGGAATCACTCAGAATATGGTCACTTGGGCAGCCTCTCAGTCACTCAGGACTCAATTCTCGTCACTTAATACTCACTCTCAGCACTCAGCTCATATATATACCTCATTATAACAGAAATCATAGTAACCGTTGCGGCGTGCAGCCCGATCCATATATCACTGCGGCGTGCAGCCCGATCCATATATATAGTCGACTGCGCTCATTGGGGGTGTGCAGACTCCGGAGGGGCTCCTATAGCCCAATCGCTATATCACTGCGGCGTGCAGCCCGATCCATATATATAGTCGACTGCGCTCATTGGGGGTGTGCAGACTCCGGAGGGGCTCCTATAGCCCAATCGCTATATCACTGCGGCGTGCAACCCGATCCATAATATATACGTATAATATTCTCACAATTGGGTTCTCAACCTCTCTCAGTCATTAACCTCACAGCCTCTCGGGCACCATAATAGAAGGTAGGGCTCTCAGCCCAAACAATCCTCGCATTTCGGAATAGAGTGATAAAACCAGCTTTAATCATTTAAACAGGTAAAAACATGGCTGAGGATATGGTTTTTAACAAGTAAAGTGAGGAAAAACAGTCAAAACTCCCCTATGGGTTCTACAAGTCGGCATAAGGCCCCAAATAAGGCATACAACCCATAATACAGTATAAAAAACTGAAATGCGGAATAATATAAGATTCCCAAATCAAGTATGTGGCTTAATAGTCGCTATGGGACGGACCAATTCACAATCCCTACCGGTGCACGCCAACACGCTTGTCACCTAGCATGTGCGTCACCGCTTTTATCAAAGCAAGTCAAATACCGGAGTTTTGTACCCTCAATTCCAGATTTACAATGGTTACTTACCTCGAATCGATGAAAATACTACTCCGCGACGCTTTTGCCTCTCGAATCGGCTTCCACTCGCATCGAATCTATCCAAAATCAGAACGAATACATCACAATATGCTAAGGGGACAAAGCCCAAGCGAAAACAATCGAAAAATACCAAAAATTCCGAAATTAGCAAAACCCGAGCCCCGGCCCACTTCTCAAAACTCAGAAATTTTTACATCATTAGATTTCTTGTCTTCCCACGAGTTTATACATATTAAAAACATAAGAATCGGAGTTCAAATGACCCCTCAAATTCTCAATTTAAGCTCTCTTAAACTCAAGCCCTAAACCTCCATTTTTGTTCCTTTATTTCTTTAAATTTCAGTCCCAATCCATGAAATATTACCATAGAAGAGTGTTTTAAGTCCAAAATTCTTACCTCAACAAAGTCTCTTTGATTTCTCTCTTCAAAATCGCCCAAAGCTCCCAATTTCGAGTTCAAAAATGGTTAAACCCTTCAAAAATCGCGAAGGATGAAATATATACCTTTTGCCCAGGCTTTTCCGCATCTGCGGTGCAAAACTCGCTTCTACGGTACCGCTTCTGTGGTCTAACCATTCGCTTCTGCGGAATTTCACTTACCCAGCCAAACCGCATCTGCGGTTCACTCGCCGCATCTGCGACTCCGCAGGTGCGGTTCACCTACCGCATCTGCGGTTACTGACCAAACCTCTCGAATCCGCTTCTGCGGCTCCCTTTCCGCACATGTGGCACTGCACCGGTCCCCAAACCGCAGGTGCGAAAACACCAGAAGCAGCAATATCAACTGCTGCAACCAAGTTCCAAATTCTCCGATAACCACCCAAAATAATCCCGAGGCCCCCGGTACCTCGACCAAAAGCACAAACATAACCCGATACCTTATTCAAACTTGTTCGAATCATCAAAACACCTTAAACAATATTAAATCTACCAAATCACCTCGAATTCAAGCCTAAGTTTCTAAAATCTTCCGAAATACACTTTTGATAAAAAACTCAACCAAACCACGTCCGAATGACCTGAAATTTTGCACAGACATCCCAAATGACACAACGAAGCTATTGCGACCCTCGAAAATCCATTCCGACCCCTATATCAAAATCTCGCCTATCAACCGGAAATTGCCAAAATATCAACTTCGCCAATTCAAGCCTAATTCTACTCCGGACCTCCAAAATCCATTCTGATCACGCTCCTAAGTCATAAATCACCTCCCGAAGCTAACCGAACCATCGAAACTCACGTTCGAGCCCTCTCACATATAAGTCAACATCCGGTTGACTTTTCCATGTTAAATCTTCTTAAAAAAGACTAAGTGTCTCAATTCACCAAATCCTCTTCGAACTCAATCTAATCAACCCGATCACATAAAACAAGGATAACAAAGCATAAAGAAGCAAAAATGGGGGAAACGGGCTGGTAACTCATGAGACGACTGGCCGGGTCGTCATAACTAGATTCATTTGAACCTAATATTTTAATTTCGACGCAAATTAAAATATATATTTATATATAAACATTCACTAAAATTGTAACAAATAATAGACATAAACTCATACAAACTCATAATTTTAAAAAGTAATGGGTTCAAAATTGATAACCTTAAGATTAATACATAAACCTTAAATTCTGAAACTAATAGACATTAAGATTATTCTCGAAAAGGATAGTGGAAGTGAAAGAGAGTTGCCTTTCAAGTCGTGGCGAAAATAGCCGCCCCAACCGCCACCCTTGTCTCATGGAGACTTAAAATGTAGTCAACCTTGTTGAAAGATAAGATAAGTAAAAAGACCTTTCAAATGTATGTATGAAGCCATTATATTGTCTAACTGATAGTTCCTTCGGTCCATTTTATTTAAATTTTTAGCCCTTTTTTTTGTGGTGTATAGTCAATTTCATTATTAATTAATGTTAAAAAATAAATTTTTTAATATAAATGAAAATAATAATAAAAAATTAATTAAAATGGTTTCGAGGAAATACTACACGCATTAGTACCAACACACGATTTTGACAGTTAATAAAATCTGGAATCGCTAGAAATGAAATAAACCAAGCTTTGCGCCGTGGTTTTCCCAAAGAAACCCGTGGACCACGTGCAACATTTCCAGCTGTTATTGTGGTTCCATCTTCGGATTTTCTTGTACTCCCTCCAATTCAAGTGACAAATTTACTTTGAGCACACCCATTAAAAAAATTATAAATTTTAAATGAAAATAGTTAGTGTGATTAAATTATCTTTTATTAAATATTGCACCATAGTTATAGTAGTACTTCTCTTCTCAAATGTGAGGAGTAAATGACTTTTTAGGGATACGTACATAAGGGTAATTTTGAAAAAATGAATTTAAATTTTTTCTTGATTATATAAATAGACACTTCTTTTGGACCAAAATAAAAAAACAAAATTGGTTACTTATTGTGGACCGGAGGAGTATATAGGAATTTATTGTACTAACTTATGAAGTGATCTATATATATATATATATATATATGAGGGCATTAAGAAAGTGAGGTGGCACCTCTCTCGCGCCAACAAAACATTTATCTTTTTTCTGAGGAAATTTTTTTTGAATCTTTCAGCATTTTTTCTATTCCCTAATTATTATTCTGTTGTAAGAAGTAAAGTCTAATAATTACTCCAACGTTTCACAAAACGAAAGCAGTGATTCTATTCATAGTATTTTATTACGACAAAACGTTTCATATGGCGAATGCACCGTTTTGATAAATTGATTCGTTCCTATTGTCCACTAATGCCTAAATAATCTCATTTATAAGAATCCATATTCGGTGAAGTTTTTACCTTCGTATAGGTAATGGTGGGACAGAAAATGAAGTAAAATCACTGTATCGTGATTTTCTTTCACTCATGAGAACCATGGTTGGATCGGACAAGCTGCAAAGAACCCATGGTAGGAATATTTTTTTTCTTTTTAATTTTAGGTGTGTTTGATCAGATATACTCAACACAAAATATTTCTTTAATGTGTCTACTTTATGCAGACCAATTCTAAGAAACACTCATACTCCATCAGAGTTTTACAGCAACTGAAAACCAATAATTCACATTGTCTATCAAGGTATGGTTAATTAAATTCTAAGATTGTTCTCTCTCTTTTTTTCTTTAATTTTGGGTCACATAAAAGTGGTAAATAGTAATTAATTAAACTATAAGAATATTTTTTCCTTTTCCCCCTTTATTTTAGGTCACATAAAAATTACAGGGTATGATTTCAGGTGTTTAAGGGCCATCTAACAATTTATGAATCGGGATGAAGAAGGTTACAGAGGAAGAATGTAGAGAATCAGTTGAGTAAATTCAAAAGAAGATGATGGAGAGTCTTATGATCAATTGTCGAATATTGCAGTAATTTTTTTTCTCAAACAGACTACTAAAATATGTTAAATTATAGTTGCTTCTTATATTGTTTTGGTATGTTTGATTTTCGCTACTATTTAGATTTAGACAGATAAAAGGAGGCAGATTGAAATGCTTATTAATAGGAACTTTGGCTAAGAAAGTCACTTATCTTTTTTCTCCTTTTGGGCTTTTTTCACCTCATTTCTACATTGTCTTATTTTCATTAGGTAAAAAAGTCTATAACCGTTTCTTTATTGGATATTTTGATATCTATTTGTGTCCTCTTTTAAACTTTCCTCTCCCTATAAAACCTCTGTTAATTATGTTTGTCACTCCCAAATATAGTTTAATGTGTAAATAACAATGACCGTCAAGCATACACTCAAAAATTAGTTGAGTTATAAACTTAAGGAAATTGGCTTGCATATCAGCTTAGGACTCTTTCCTTATGTGTTCAACTTCTTTACGAACATTATTACTTTTGACACATGGTTGTAATTTTTTTAGCAAACTAAAAATAGGTGAATAATAGGTTATATGTGGGAGTAATTTTACCTATTTTGTTTATGAGGTAAGTATTGATATGTTTTTAGCGGATTCGTATAATTTCTATTTTTGCTCTCTTCCTCCTATTTTGTTCTCTAACCAGTTTGAAATTTGTTGAATTGACAAAGCAAGTTTGTCCCGGTACTAGAGTTTCTGATATCAATTGTTTTCTATTATTTCAATGAAAGGAATTAGTATATGATATATTTTCAATTGTCAAAAGTAGTATGTCAATGAAATTGAAGCTTGAAAATTCCGTCCTCTTGTGAATTCTTTCCCCTTTTTTATGATTGTTAGAATATACTATAAGCCATGCATATTGTTATAGTATTCTTTATGAACAATTATTTATTTACTTGTTTAAATTCAATAAAGTTTCATTTTAAATAGATCATGTGTTGGTTTGTGCGTCCATTGCTTACATAGTAGATGATTTAGTGTATAGAGTTTAGCTTATACACGGAAGATTAAATCATCGGTTCTTGTAAGACATAAAAGTTAATGTTCACAATCTAATGATGGAATTGGACAAATCATCGGAATGATTGTAGCACAAGATTAAATATAATTTATCTTGATTATGGGAATGGTTTAATTCCAACTTCTTGTGCTAGTACATTTTGTATGTATTGAACGGATCAAGTAGAGATGAGTATTTTATACTGACTTTATAAAATAATTTCTCTAGTCCATTTAATGTACTTATACTCTTAATCCTGATATAATTATTATTAGCTGTGTATGTCACTTGTTGTTTTGATTTATTAAAAGGCGAGATTCTTTCGCGAGTCAATAAGCCTGGTAAATTGGATAACAATGATATACATTGGCGAAGTAATAATTAGTTGATGGAATCCATGTCTCGATTTTGAGATTGATGATACTCCTTTATGAAAGCTTATAAGTTTTCATGTGTAAACCCGGCCGGTGGATTTTGTATCCGACACATGAAATAAGTTAAGTGTAAGTCTAAAGGAAGTAATCAATAAATTAAATAGTCAGTAATTTAATTTGATTGATTAGTATCTGAATCTTAACATGGGGAGTTAAATAAGGTTTTATGGAAGAATTTCGAAATTGAATAAGGAGTGAAATTACGATTTTTTAGTGGAATAATTTGTAATTTATTATGATGGAAATTAGTTTCAGAATTTCGAAATTAATATCATAATAGGAAGCCTTGTTAATTAAATTCTGTGGTCCCTACTGTGCCTAAATAATAGAAAATAGTGGAAACTGTTACTTAGTGGGAAAGAAAACGTGGAAACCGTCCCTTAGTGGGAGAAGGAAACCTAACAGGTTTTGAAAACGGTTTTGACCTAAAAAACGCAGCTATATATATGGATATAAGGGCTGGACGTTTTTTATATGATTCTGACTGCGGTTTCTACTAGAATTTTGCCCACCCAAAATTTTCTATTTTCGGTTATTGTTTGGGTAACACAGTAGAAGACTGTGGAAATCTGCTAGTGTGTTTTCAACTGAGGAACTGGAGAACGACCTAGATTTGTTGTTTTTACGCTTCAAGAGGTAATCCTAAAATCTCCATACGTGCTAGTTGTTTAGATTACACGTGAATAAGATTCTGTTATTGCTTCCGCTGTGGTATATATTCCATCAATGATGTTGTGTGTTGAATTTATTGAATAAACTTTTCAAGGAAATGAGCAATTCTTTTTAGATTTTACGAATTTTTAGCATAGCCTTGATGATTTTGAGAAAGGAAAGGAATAGCTTTAGAGTGAAAGCATTAAAATATAACTTTTGAAGGCTGGAGAAGAAAAGTTCTTTGGTTTTTAAGATATTAAATTAACAAGAAAAAGCTAGGTTGAAGTTATTATGCATATGCAAAGAGATCAATTTTCTTGAAGTTCATCTCTCCCTTTCATGTTTCTAAATAAAATACTAGAAAATATCGTTTCATCTATATGAGTTATTATATAAAATCATTCTCTGTCAGACAAAAAGTACACTAAGTAACGGAAAAAGGTTAAAACTAAATATATAAAATCTAATCTATTTGGATTTGAAGATTATAAAAAAATTCAAATATTTTTAATATTAAATCATTAAAAAAATTATTTCATAAATTCATGTCTTTTATAACCGCTTCACTAGTTGAGATATAAATTTGACGGCTAAACCTTCGTTCCTTTTAAAACCAAATTAATCATTGTAATGTTTTTCTCGTTTATCTTATTGAAAACTCAGATCTATGCTTCACTAAACATCCTTTCCTCTATCACTTTCAGGTCATGTTTTGGAACCAGAATCTGGAATCTTTCCTCTGACAATCTCAGATCAATGACTTGAAGTTATTGATCTGAGTAGCCATTAACCCAAAACTTTGGTATCAACAGTTTCGTCTTCCATTCTTCAACTTACATCAGTTTCTTCTTCTTCTTCTTCTAACCTCTAAATCATACATGGCACATTAACGGAGTCATCAATGGATTCAAAACTTCGAGCTTTTCCAAACTTCCTGTAATCATATCAATGGTGCTACACTAATACCAACTCAAATAAATGAAGTGATACGAATAAATATAAAATCTTAAATATAAGACTAGTAAAAGTTTAAACATTCTTCCACTTGAACACATTAACTTAAATATTTCTCAAAAGCTAAAAAAATATTCTAAGTAATATTATAAAACAACTCTTGGCAGTATTACTACCAGAAAATGAACCTATGGCAACGGAAGTTTCAGCAACGGTTATATAACCGTTGCCACAGATCTCTATTGCAACGGTTTGAACCGTTGCCAAAGTTTTTTTGGATGCTATTAATACACTTTAGCAACCAAACCGTTGCCGTACGTTTGCCTATAGCCACGGTTTCTTTTACTGTTATAATATATCTATCAGTAGCAACGGTTTTTTCCAAAAAATATAAAATATTTATAGGAACGGTTATTGTTCCCTCCTTAATTTTTTCGCGTAGCCCGCCAGATCTAGTACTTTCTCTTTAAACCTTTTTACCTTTTTTTTTTTCATATGTAATATGTAATATATAGTTAAATCCATAATTTTTATTTATTTTCTAAATAAAAGTAGATGTGGCCTAGCTCCAGTTATGTTTTTTCCCCAAATCTGAACCCTTTTCCCTTTTCCTTTATCTCCAATAAAGTTTTCCCCAAATTACTCTAATCCCTCGTACCCATTTTCCCCTTTTCATATTACTCTAGCTCTAGTTATATTTTCCCCAAATTTGAACCCTTTTCACTTTTCCCCAATTCACTCTAATCCCTCGCACCCATTTTTTCCTTTTAATTTCTCTCTTTGAAATCCCTCAAATCCAGTAGTCCGGTGAGAGATCTCCAGAAGATCTGTGTCCGTTTTGCTAGCATTCAGACTATCTTCCCAGCATCGTCTTATTCAACCCATAAACTCGGAAGTCGGTGATTTCTATAGCAAACGCAAAAGGCACTCCGTAAAAAATTGATTTTAGTTGTAAGTTTTTCTTTTTCAATTTGTGTATTTTCTTCTTTAATCGTTCCCTTTTTCTATAATATTTAGGGTGTGGTAGTGTATTTAATATCTTGCTTTCTATTGTTTTTTTGAACCCCAATTGTTAAGGTTTTATTTTCGTTAGGGTGTGGCTACTGTGAGTCTAAATTTTTAGAACTAATGTTCCTGTAGAAAATCTGCCAAAGACGACTTTTCAAAAAGGTCAGTCTTTTAGTTATGTTTGCTTTTGACATCTTGAATTTATTGACACTCTTATCTTAGTCTATTTTTCTGTAATTGCATTCACTTTATATTTGGATTTTTCTAGAAGTTGACTCTCAACATTAGTATATGGATTTATGCTATCAATTAGCATAAACTATGTTTCATAAGGTCTTTGAGTTGAATTTTGATGCCATTCTGACAGGGTGTAATCTATGAAAATTTCTTATTGTTCATTACTGGTTTGTCAAGTTGGTAAACCTATTCTAACTTTAGAGTGTCAACTCCTGAGTTTTCGAATGCTCGAGAGCATTGTGGCTTATGATATGGCGCTAAAAGTATTAAATTCAGTATTAAGGTAAATGCTTAAAAATTAAATTAGTTGTACTACCTCACTCAAATCCAAAATTTATTTCGTGAGATGAGAATTCCCCAAAATCATATTTGAAAATAATTATTCATTCGCTCGATCGTGCAGGAAAACTTGCATGAAGCACAAGATGAGGATAAAGGACACCCAACTACATCAGCTTCAACAACTTCGTCTTCCATTCTTCAACTTACATCAGTTTCTTCTTGATCACACCCAACTATGTCTTATATAAAGGACACGCAGACGTTGCAAATATAATCTGAGTATTTAGCCCAGAGTCGAACCCACAAGGAATTAACCTATCAATTACTTCTCGTTAGACTTACTAAATTTCACAGAATCAACTTCTCAAACGTTGTAAATAACAATTGAGGGTATTTTTACTAACTACGAATGAATGTAAATAAGCAACTGAAAAATAACTATAATTGAGTTGTAAACTATTAAGAGAAGGTTTTAAGGCTATGATTTCCTTTATTGATGGACTCCCTTCCGGTTATGCTTCACATAGGTTCACCAAATCATCTCTATCAATCCTGAGCACTCTTACTACTGTAAATCTCTCCCGAGTAATCACGATAATCTATTAGATGCACTCTCCCGAG